ATTTTTCTTATATGTACCCATTTCATGTATTCACAACTATGTATACGCTTATACTTATTATCTTGTAAACAATTGGCAAATCAAATAAATAAATAAATAAATAAATAATTTTCTCCCATAAGAAATAATGTAGTGAATCGCAAGGCAGCCAACACTGACATGTTCTAGCATGTTCTAGCTTCAGTACTAAACTCAAAATGTGTTTAGTACCAAATGTGATATGTTTCAAAGCAGTTGAGTAACAAGGTACCATTGTATTAGAAGACTTCCGCAAACTATTTTTTCATCAAACACATTCATCTTTCTTCTACAACTCCTGTTATCCTCCTTCAGTCTATTTGGCTTCCTGATTTCTTTCCTCCAATTATTGGTCATAACATTTCAACTTTCTCCTGCTTGTCCAGCTAGTTGGTTTCAAACTCAAAAAGCACTGATAAGAAGAGTTGAAAATCCTTCTGACCATCCAGCTGCCTCTGATTGATAGTAGCACAGGCAGCTACAATGCTGAAATCAACTGATACTTTATGATAGACAAGGGATGAAGGTAAACCTTGCCAAGGACTTCTATCAACAATATCATAGCATGCCTTAATGAGTTATAATACAATATAAGAATAATCCAATTTAGGTTTAATATGCCCCATTTAGGAACCTCCAAAATCAATAAAATGTTTTGATTGGGGCAAGAACCACAAGTGCAACAATAGAAATTAAAATCATTCTAACAACAACAACAAAAACCCTACTTCTCCGTACTTGCCCTAATCTTCATGAAAGAAATAAACTATTGTATGAGTGGAAACCTCTTGATAGCAAACTTCTTCACTTCTCTCCTGGAAGGCTGGTATAATGGGGATCCTGTGCAAAATCTGTTACAGAACAGAGCACCAATCAGGTAGTGCTTTAGATAATGTTGATGATTTAATGACTTGCTTTCCAGTAAAGTTGATCAAGGTGAGATAATACATTAGCTTCAGTGCTACTCTGATTGCTCTGTTCTGATATATTGTAAGTTTCATCCAATTATTAAAGAACATTGGAGCAAAATCTGATGAACAAATAGTGACTATAAAATAATGAATTCACTGAAAAGCAAAAAGGTATTGTCAAAGAATTAAAAAAGAGGTTGAAAGAAAGCAGTGGTGTGAAGAACAGAGTTGGTTAGTTCTTGTGTTACATAAATGAATTTCATACATAATATACTGTATTTTATTTGGATATACTTTTGGTTCCTTTTATGCATAACATGATATTTTTATTCCTATGTGTTCACAATATTTATAAACCATGAAAGTTATGAGGACTTAAACCTTCTGTTCATTTCTTTTCAATTCATTCTGATCTAACACGAATGTGTCATGTATCCACTTGTCTGCAATGCATACAGTTACCACTAGTCTCCACTTCTACGTATTTAAATTCAACCCTTTTCATCACAAAAGGATTTCAACAATTCAATATTCTTTTAATTATAAACACATTCAGATCACAACAAATGCAAGCTAAGGACTATATCTCCAACCTGTCCACAGAGCTATTTCTAGCTCATTATCAGACTTGGACAGAAATTCTGTTCCCTTCCCCCCACATTCACCCCTTTGGTCATCATTTGTCATGCAGTGAAATAACCTGCATAAAACATAGCTAATTAAATCTTCTTTATCTTCTACTTCAGATCCAGGTATATGACATAAAAGCAAGTAAAATCTTCATTGCTCATGTTGGGTAGAATATTGTACAAATTGGGTGAGAGGCAGAAGGGAAAGACAGAGGTAAATTTTGTTCTGCTATGAAATCATGTAAGTCATATATTTATATCAGCTGCAAGCCTGAATTTTTGAATTGGAAAAATACCTTTTAATGAGTTGAGTTCCATTAGCCAGAGTTAATACAAATTAAATTATTTGTTGACTCACTGGAATGTTTTGTGGAATCTGTCGAGAATTTCTCTTATCTCCTTTTACATTTAATTTAAATTTGGAACTTCTGACCTGTTTGATTCAAAAGCTGAAGGGTATCTCGAACAGTAAGACGGTTGGTGATAAACATACATTGTTTTTATATGCTGTTATATTATTTTAAAAGAAATTATCTATCAAAATTGATGGATGTAGTACATTTTGGTAAGTTATCAATGTATTCAATTAAGTGGAATAATTCTATTATATGTCCAATAGGATCTAATGTACCTATTGTAAGATTGGGACCTTATATAAAGTTTGAATTCTTTTTAGAATCTTGGAATTATTGTTTTTAGGAAGATCTCCAGGTCAGTAAAGATATGTATTTCAAAATGTTCACCACAAATTATTATTGATATTAACAAATGATTAAATGTTTTTATGGGAAAAAATAAAGAATGATTAAATGAATATCTATTTTTAGAGATATGTGGATATTAAATCTGTTTTGGTATTTTAAGGATATGAAAACGTTTATATTGATCTGACGTTTCCCAATTTTCTTTATCAAAATAACAACTTTCTTATAGAGAAGGGAGTTTTGATTTTCAGATGTAGACCTTTATCACTGACATATATTTTCATATCTAACTGAATAAATGATTCATTTCAAAAGCCTTTATGGGCACATCTTTATTATTATTTGTTCCCCTTGGTATCTTGGCAGGGGTTTGGATCTATTTTTATTATGTGTCTCTATCTATGAAAGGAAATATTTGCCATTAAAGACTGCAAGATATATTTAGAATATGTTGAGAAAAAAAATTGTATTTCTAGTCTTGTAATTGATATCTAGGATCGAGTGTTGTAGCCAAGACAGGGTATTGATACCTTAGCTAAACTTATTCTCTAACAATCTTATAAAGCATTTGCAATATTGCAGGCAGAACTTGAAAACTGATTAATGGAAATATATCCAATTAAAATGTTTTGATTAACTGATTAATTGAATGCATTAGCAACTCCTAAATAATTATTATGATTGGTCACCCTTATTACATTCTTAGTATTTATTAGCTTGATAATATTAAAATTTTAATTAATCATTAAATTATATTATTGTTATCATTGAAGGAATATGTAAGATTCTAAAGCTATTATTATTTTAACTGACAGGATTATTATAACAAAGAAAGAAAACTGAGATGTAATACTTTATGTAAATCAATTATGTTAGTTTTAAACAATGTATTTTTCTGTCTGTATGCCCCTTGATCTTCAGATATATTTGTAGAGTACTAAACATTAAGAAATTTAATAAAGAATAGATGCCAACATTTGAAATTTAAATAGTGGAAAGGACTTTAATACACATTTTGAGCCTGTCCCATTGATGTTCCATTTTGGTTTAATGTAATTCAGTTTCTCAATTCAATATTGAGAAGACAAAAGAAAACATAAAGAAGCTAATGCAATGTTGAACTATATACCAGAAATTTGTAATTTAACGATGTATGAAGAATCTAGATTTCTATTGGATTGCAATTAAAATAATTTTCTTTATCGTAATGACTCTGCTAAACTAGATTTTAAATCTCATATATTCATCTATGTTTACTTTCTGACAATTGATTTCATATCAATTAAAGGAAAACCTACCAATTTTTCATTTTCTATATAGTCAAGGTATAATTTGTTGCTTAGAAATTCAGTTCATTTTCTCTTTAAATACATAATCTAATATATATTATTAATTGATATTATCTATGTATTTTTCCTTTTTGTTTTTTATATTTCAGTACCTTTTTGTTTTTGTATCTTTTTATTATATTAGGAGACATAAAATACTGCATTTACAAAATAAATGTTCAGTGTTCTGCAAACAATATAAAATAAGAAACTAATAATACAAACATTTAAAAATCAATAATTAAAAAGTAAAAATACAATTTATCAAATACAGTAGGAGCTAAAAATGCTACTGCAAATTAGAATAAACAACTAAGAAAAATTATTAAACCAAAAAAACAATCCTCAGTAACACTTGCTGTATTGATCAACAATCTTCCCCTTCCTGAGTGGAGGATTGAATAGAATAGGCACAGTGCAGAAAATTGTGGGCTATATGTTTGTTTGTTTTAAACAAACATGGCATGAAACTCAGTTATATCCATTGGACAAATTTAGTTCTAAGTCTCGTGCACAGAATTTGTATACAATCCATCCAGTGTACTAAAATAGGAAGCTACAGAAAAAGGTCACTCCTGTTCAGCAAAGATAGAAAACTGGATTGGATCAATTCACATGCTGTCTTCCAGGCAGGCAAAATGTCCTCTACAGACAGGCAAGGACATATATATTCCTATGTTTCTTCCCACAGTGCTGCAGCCACTAAGTTCAAGCCAGAGGAGCTGGCTTCATTCTTCCCTCATTCCTAGTGGGTAAGGATGAAATGGAGCTTCAGACAGCCTCTGTTCAAACAGACCAGTAAAGTCTTCATTCGACAACTCCCTTGTTGCTCAAGAAAGAAAGAATATAGCAATACAAGTCACCACAAAATAATTGCAGTAAGGAGTCATCAAAAGCGGCGGGGTTTTCCTTTGGATGCTACTTTGGTCCCTTCCACCTCTTCCATTCAGATAGAAATTTTACAGGTAGGGACATGTTTCTTTCATTCTTTTTGGTGGGTCAAACCACAAAGAAGTCAGTGCTTCAATTTGGTCTGGCTAGGCTTTTTGAGAACTTTGTTTCTTAATAAGTTGCTTTCACAATTAAAGGCATAATTTCTGATGCCTTGATAAGCTTCGGCCTGCATACGGTCTCTAGAGCATCAATTGTTCATCTCTATTGCAATTACAACAAAGTTATTTTTGTTGCTATGGTGTATCTCACAAATACAAAGCAAGTATTCATAGAAATAATAGAACATCTATACAGAATACAAACTACAGAGGTCTCTGAATGCCTTCAGTATCATGGGTTTCATCTTATTTTTTAAAAACTAGCATTTGTTAAATTCATATCGCAAACTTTATGCACTATACCATCACAAGCATCAGTTTTGACATACATTCTTTTCCAAATATCTAGTTTTCTTACCTGTCACAATAGGATATGATTGTGGTCCTGAGACACTGGCACCTATATCTGTTGATGTAGGGCTTGTTAAATTGGCCTTCATTTCATCTAATCCACCAGCTAGTGATGTCATGGCTGAATATTCTGTTGACTGAGTTCAAAGAAAAATGAGATAATTTAGTAACATTTTTCATATATTAAATTCTAATATGGTTCATATTAAGCTAAGTGGTTCATTCCTATATTGGCAGTGAAGGCCTTGAATGGGGTGATAATGGTAATAATGGTAATTTTATATCTGAAGATTGATTTTACTGTTCAGATGCAACATGAAATGAAACAGTTTCAAACTATGATGAGATGTTATGACAATATGAATCCTGCAAACTTCAGTTATTGGGTTAACTAAAAAAAAAATAGTTTCTCAGATTGTTTGGTGGACAAATCACCAGCACTTTCTAATGTGAATCAGAAGATAATCTCAAAAAATACACCTAATTATTGGGAGGGGGGCATGGCAATCTCTGTATCACTCCTACAAACTTGAAAGTTTTTTCTATAAAACCATGAATTATTAAGTATGACAATGATATTGTTTGTTTTGTTTAGCGGTGCACTAGAAGAAGTATGTTTTAATAGTTTTTAACTGCAATGCATCCTCTGTTGGGCCATCCATTATAGAATTTCCATTTAACAAGTTCCCAAAGTATTGTGAGACATGAACACTTTAATCTTAGAATATGTCATTATAGTATAATGCATTAAAATAAAATTGCATTTCACAATTATAGTACATCTCACAAGTATATAAAAAGTTGATAAATGCGAGACCATTCCTTCAAATAATGAACAGGTGGTAATCTATTGCCAAGCAGAAAATTAATATTAGAGCCAATAAAGAAATTATTAAGCCAACTATATACATGACTGTAACAATTATCAAGCAAGATGCAGACTGCCCTGTTTACCTGACCTTTTGGTTAATGGTTTGTGTTGCATTAATTATGTTTGTCTTTGGCTATAGTTACAGTTGTTTCTTGTGATTTATTGGTTGCAGATACCATTCTGATTTTTTTTTAGCTGTTGCTTTGGGTATGTCTGTATTTTAGCAATGACCTTAAAGATGTGCCACCGCTGTATTTTTGTTTTATCTTCTCATGCAGGACAGCAGCATAAAATATTTAAATAAGTATAAAATAGCTCAGAGAAAAAGCTAACAAGCTCCTCCTGTGCAAGGCAGCATTGAAATAAACTGCCTTGGTTTAAAATGACATAGATGTGCATTCCCTTGCATGTTTCCCTGGAAATTAAACTCCCTTATTTCATAGGGACATTAAAAGAAAAATGGTGGTACATATCTACTTAGGGGTATAGGCAGTGATGTATTATCTCTGGACTGCCCACTCTGTTCAGGAGGAAGGATACTGTAGAACAATCCCTTGTTTCATAATTCCGTGCTTTATTTTCATTGTGATTTCTTTAAAAATGCATTTATTATTTGTAACACTTCTGTTTTTTATTCGGGGTAAATTGGAACCACCAATGTGCAGTTGCTACTTTGGCCAGACTGTTTTTAATGACCACCTATTACCCACAGAGCATAAAACAAAATGCTCTTAGCATTTGTAGGATTCTTCTCTTCAGAAATGTATTTTTAAAATAAATAAAGATAACAAGCCTGTCCATTTGTTTGTTAATAAGAATGCATGCTTTGTTTATTATTTGTGAACAGATACCACTCGGTTGCAGCTTGAAGTGAATCCTGCCTCCAGGTGATGTGGGCAATTTTGGACATGTTTTGTTTGTTTCTTTTGATGTTATGTTTTATCTTATTCACTGAAGGCATGTCAGATGTCCCAAATCAAAATTCTGCCCCCACACCCGTAACTGTAGCCCAACAGGGGACATAATCAGATTTTTTTTTCTGTTTGTCAGTGACAAATAGCCTATTGCAATCCAGCTTTTTCTATACAAGTAGTCCTCAGCTTACAATTATTCATTTAGTGACCATTCAAAGTTATAACAATACTGAAAAAAGTGATTGATGACCATTTTTCACATTTAAGACCACTACAGAAGAGGTGTCAAACTCACATCGTCACAGTGGCATCATATTATGTATTGGAACTTTTTCTCCTTTGCTAAACCGGGCATGGGCATGGCCAGTGCAGGACGCATCCAGCCTGTGGGCCGGGAGTTTGACAGCCCTGCACTACAGCATCTTCATGGTCATGTGATCAAAATTCAGGTGCTTGACAGCTGACATGTATTTATGAGGGTTGCACTGCCCTGGGGTCATGTGATCCCCTTTTGTGACCTTCTGATATGCAAAGTCGATAGGGAACCCAGATTAATAACTGTGTGACTAATTTAATAAACTGCAGCGATTCGCTTAACAAGAAAGGTGGCAAGAAAGGTGGGGCAAAACTCACAATAATTCTCTTGCTTAGCAATGAAAAGTTTGGACTCAATTGTGGTCATAAGTTGAGGACTACCTGTTATATGGAAAGATCAGAGAGGCAGGGTTTCTTGGGCATAAGCAAGCTGCTGGATATATTGACAACAGGCAGGGCAGAGAGAGGCAGGTCTCAGTAAAATAAATTGCACAAAGGAATACTGGGACATGGTAAAAGTCCTTTAAGCATGTAGGTGTCAAAATGCAAACAAGAAAGAACAATATAAGACGCTCACGATAGGAAATTGGGAAGTCAGATTAAGGATTGAAATCCAACTTGAAATACAAGAGGGATAAGCATATAAAAAGCGGTTTTAAGGAGAAAACTTTTCTCTCCCATCCTTGCTTATGGAAATAGCCAGGCTGATCTACTTTTTCTAAAGATTTGGAACAGGTCTCACAGTCATTCAACACAGAAGTCATATAGCTTTGGGCTTGAGGCTGTCTATACAGATAAATTATGAATTTATACAGATAAATTATGAATAGAGACCAATATATGTGTCCCAGGGTAAGGTTGCTGTCATGATAATGATAGTGTTGATGTTAATGTTGTAAACTGTGGATCGTTGGCTCTCTAGAAGAGAAAGGAGAGAGAATAGATATATAGAGCTATAGAGAAAAAACACATGTCCCTGGGGCAGATAAGGATATGTATACGCATTTTTAACAATTTAAAGAGAATTCTTCTAACAGCACAAGGAACACATGCTTACATGCCCATCATGCTATTTTTTTCTGAAGTAAGCAACTTTATACAATGCACAGAAAAGGAGTGAGAAAGAACATAAAGAGATGAAATAAGAAAAATTATAGGAAACATAGCTAAATCTAGTTTGTACCAATGCCATTCTTATATCTCTCCACTACTACTACGCGCCTCTCCACTACTTTCCTACTCCACTATCTTTCCTTCAACTACATTCATTCACTGCCTTTTGTTCTTTGAACTCTCTTATTTTTGTGGACTTTGTCAACTCTGTTCAACCTACAGTTTCTTGGTCTTCCCCTTCCTTTGAACCCATTCAGTCTTCCTTCGAATATTTGTTTTGCCATGCTAGCCTTTTTCATTCTATCTGTAGGACTAAATCACCTAAGTGTACTTTTGCATTTAGTTCACATTTCAACCAGCACCCAATCATTCTTGATCCTCTCATTTCTTGCTTTGCCACTCACTGTTCTTAACGTTACCAATTCCTGCTGCATTTAAATTGCTTGTATGTTTTGCCCGGCATAACCAAGTCTCATTTCCACAGAACTAACTGGGCAGAAGTTTGCTCTTTCAACATTCATTTCTCCCAACAGATGGTATCTACCCACCAGTTTTCTACCAGCATTCGCATAATTTAAAAATTCTCTGTCCATTTTCCTATCTTTAATAAACATTCTACTGAGGTATGTAAACACAATTTTACTTCCTCTAGTTTTTGTCATTTATGTATAGCTCGTAATCCTTCACCCTTTCTCCCTGTTTAACATATCTAACTCTTTGATACATTAATTTTCAGATTCATACTTCACTTTGCACCATCAGTCTAACATTCCCTGCAAATTATTCAGCTTCTTAGTCAGCAATCTGCCATCATCTTTATGTGTCCTAACCAAAACACTTCTTATTTTGCTACAAATGTTTCTTATACATTTTTCCATAAATAGATTAAAAACAAGGGAACATCACATATCCTTGTCTTTCTCCCTAGTCAATGCTGAATCGTTTATTAACCATTCTATTTATTCCCATTCGTGTTTTACTTCCATCCTTCCTTTTCTATTCTACTAGCATTTGCCAATCAAATTTCAACTTCACAGCTGGGGAAAACATTCCATAATTTAAATCTATTCATTTTGGTTCTTTTGTTTAACCATCATACACCAGGTGTTCTTTTTTGCATTCATATGTTCTCAATGAGCTGTTGAAGAGCACAAACTTGTTTGGCATAAAGCTATACTGTCCTTCCCAGATTTTTCCACCTCTTGAACACTTTTAGTCAGGTTTTAGTCGAACACGTAACCAGGCACACTAATCCCCTTGTAAATTTTGTATTCATTCTTTCAACATTTCTCCTTGGTAAAGGGGAACAATAAGAGCATTCTTCCCATACTTCCCATACTTAGGCAACATTTGTAGCATTTGGTTCAGCTCTACTTTTCAACATATCAACACATACAGGTAGTCCTCAACTGAGCCCAAAATTTATGTTGCTAAGCAAGACATTTGTGTGATGGCTCCTGTGAACGATGGTTCCTCCACGTCTTCCTCAGAGGCCTCGGGGGACAATGAGAGCATTCCTGGCACGTCCGGTTTTGCTGACCCTCAACTGTTGGCAGAACATGCCTCAGCTGGGGAGAGCTCCAGGCCGATGAGAAAGAGGGGGAGGAGTTACCGGCCTTGGTATGCAAGGCAGAGAGATGGAGATCTGTCAGATTGAGGGGGGAAAGGCTCTGCCCCTGATGGGCTGCATGGGAAGGGTTATTTAGCACAGAAGCAACCTGTGTGGGTCCGTGGCCAGATGATTGTTTGTGTTTCAGGGACTTTGCTGCTTGGGAATTTAATTCAGTTGCGGAGTGTGTTTATGTCTGTGTTTGGAGCAGCCGATTATCTGTCAGGTGGACTAATTAGTCATTGCCTGGAAGGTTAGTCTGGAGCTTGTTTGTGGCTGGCTTCACTGAAAACAAGTCCCTGAACTCCTGGCTTG